AGTCTCTCTCTCTCAACCTTTGCCTCCCGCTTCCACCTCCTCCGCGTTGCGCTTGCTTAGCTTGACTGGAGTTTGCTGACAACCGCCTCACTCAAATCTATTGCTTTTAGTCAATATCGCGGAGAAGGGTACATTGGCCCGCAGCTTGTGGGATATTTGGCAACGTGAACAGGCCGAAACTGCCTCCACCGCCGCACTCGGGACATCCCTAACCTAGATTCTTGGTATAGTGCGTATGGACGCAGGAGAAAGATGCCCGCCGCGCGCCCGATCGGAGGATCGAAACGGACGATTCCGTGACCGATATTCAGGGAGTGCAAGTTACGAGATTGTTATCGACACCTCGCTCCTTGCTCAGTCCTCCAGCGGAGTACTCCGCAAGCTACGTCATGTCACGTACTCGAACTTTTTCCACTATGTTACCGATCGGGCGTGACTTGATGTCGGCCGATTGATTTCCCGAACTCGTCAGCGAACCTATTAAGAGTCTTCTTGTTCTCATCCGTAATCAAGTTGGACAGAAGGCCGCCAATGCCGGCGATGAGGCCAGTACTCTCACTGGGCGACTCGGGCCCTGGGGAAATGTCAAGCTTGAATGTGGCAGAGAAATCTGTATCAAAGAAGGACTCGAGAAGCTCGTCAGCGAGAACGACCATCCGGAATCTAATGAGGTCTTAGTAAAAAGCTGAATATCGCCGTCGGACGCAGCAAAGACGAAGTGCTTCGTAAAAGAGTTCCCAGTGTTTCTGTCACACCAGGTGGACAACGACAGGCTTACAACAGCTTACCAGTCAGACAACTATGACTGGCGCATTAGAAAGAAGCAATGCACCGGCGAGTTACAGGCCTTCGCAACGAGAGATACAAGTGGCCGCACTGCCTTTACTACTGGACGCGTTTATCGATGGTGCGCACGTACAAGTTGCAGGCGAGACTCAGGAGAAGCGGAAGGGAGATCTGCACTTCCTCTCGAGTGTGTTTGCAAACATATCAGCCGTGAGTCTATGATTCTTCAAAATGTTGCACGGGATTTCTGAGCGCGAGAAGTAGATACCCGCAGGACGCACGTTCTTCCTTACACCCCTGTCGCCTGAACCGTCGGTATTTGGAGCGTCTCTCAGGTAAGTGCAAATTTCGTCAGTTCGCCCGGCGTCGAAGTTAACTAAGCCAATTGCTTTGACGACATGTGGTGCAGAGCGGGCCATTTACACACACCAACACACGGTACCTGTCATGATAAGCATTAATGGCGGGTAGCATACACGTGGCTTGTGGTGGTGATCTGCCCTCCCATGCAACACTCCTTAATGTTGATACATGTCTGACAGCATGCAGTGGTGCAAGATTCCGCTAAGGGTGACATGTGGTCATCATCTATTGAGGAGAGATGTGGTGACAATGGTGATGGCAAATGGCAATGGTGATGGTGATGGCGATCTGCTGTCTGATGGTGAGCAAGGAGAGCAACCCCTGTGGTTGAAGTTATTTAATCAATAAGTACTTGCATCATTTCTCAACTCCAGCGCAGGACTGCTCTCCGCATGTGTTCATCTGATAGAACACCATACAACATCATAATAATCAACTTTGGCAACTCATCCTTGCCCTCTCTTTTTGTCAGACCACTTTTCTGATTCCTCGTGTGTCTTTGTCTCCCCTTCTCAGAGTGACTGTTTCTGGTTTGTCTTTACCTTATGGTCCTCCCTCCGCTTCTGCAGCAAGTCGTCCCCCCTCCAATTTCCCAATTTGTTGCTGGATGACTAGTACAATTCAACTGTATAACATGTTCCATCTTTTTACAATGGCTCTAAGGAAGCGCCTCTCCCACTGGACCTGTCAAAAGCATGTGGGACCATGCCAAGACTTTGGAACTAGCTTTAATCTGCACCAAAGGATTAGTCATCTGAATCGCCTGGGGGAATGTGTTGCCAGCCTTTGAGCAATCGTAATATGCCAATGGAAGGGAGCTCATTGACTGAAAATGTGACAGCACAACATGGGCTTGCCCTACCTGCTTGTCACTGCTGAATGGTTTGAACAAAAGAGCACATTGTTACCGTCTTCCCAAGTCTTGCAAAAATCAACCTTGCCCTTCAGAAGAGTACTTCCCTGAGCCTTATGGACAGTAAATGCCCCAGTGAGTATAAGTGGCAGCTAGCACAAATATCAGTGTTCATCAAGCATCAGTCATATGAGGCATACCTGATGGCAGTATCCAGCAAAGTGTTTGCCCTTCAAGATGTTCCATTCATATGGTGTTACAAGAATTGTTTGTTCTGGTCAATTGGCTCTCTTTGGGAATTGCACTACTGGATACATCACTTCTCAGTTGCTCATGGCAGAAGGCAGGTCCAGTCATTTCTGGTGCTTCTGGTCCACCCTCCCAGCATTGACCCTGCACATTCCATGTTCCTTCAGATAAGAAACCAAGAACGGACCCTAGTTGTCCATTGACAAAGTCTTCTTGATTTGGTATATTTCAAAGCAGCATGACCAGTGCTCTTGCTTTGAGGTACACAGAAGCAGGTGCTATGAGCTTCTCAAAAGCATATGAGGTATTTGCTTGGGTATATCCCTTTTCAATAAAGTCAACTGCATGATATACATGGTCAGTACCATCAAGCTTCCAAAGGATCTTGTGGTTTGCCTGAGTGAGAAACTTCCATTTTGCAAAGCTGCGAGTCATTGTGAGCCAATAATGGCAGAAAGAGGTAACACCACTGACATGCCAACAGGTTGGACACCATTGTCAAAACTGTTTTTATTGCAAAGCTCTTTCAATTTCTTGTCAGCCCAATCAGATATTGTTCCTTTTCACACTTGATTAAGGATAGCAACAAATACTGCAAGGGTTCAGAATCAACAACAAAGGATTAAGGTAGGAGAGTTGTGTCTTGCCTTGATCATGCTGTTGGTACACATTGGTGATGGTACATGGGTGAGTCACTGTTGAATCCCATTCTTCTGCTTCAAAAGCATACTTCACACAAACTTTGCCATCCTTGATGGGAGGAAGCTGAAAAAAATCACCCATTCATACAACCTGCTATTAGGATCAGCAGGAGGGCACAGCAAGACTTGAATGGTTGCTTGGATGCCACCAAACAGCTGTGAACAATTTCAGATGTGTTGTGCTGTTTGAGCAAGCTTGTCAAACAGGGATGCTGACAACATAGAAACTGTTCCAGGTTAAGATATGAGTCAGACAGGCTAAAAAAGGGAAAGACATACTTCCATCTATCAGAAGAACCTTCACATCAAGCCAACACTGCCTCTTCTTGGGGTCTCTCTGGATCTCCCCACACATCTCTTCTAGATTTTCACAATGACCACCAATCCTGGCCCAACTGTGAAGTGTTTGACCGCCTACATGGAAAGATGCAATTTTGGTGGTCCTGCTGACTGCTATTGCTGAGGGATCATTTCAGAATTGAGGATCATTGTGTAGTGTCACAATGACCATGCATAGCAACACACTCTTCCCACTTCCTGTTGGCCACAGAAATTATAATAAAGCCTTCCTAGCAGTGCAGGTAAAACTGACCTGCAGGGCCAGTAAAGAAGACATTTTTTCCAGAGACAATGAGTTGATGGATGAAAAGCTGTTGTGGGTCTAATTCAGGAAGGTTCTCCTCAGTATTGTTCAATAACAAAAAGCTCTTCAACTTTGTGGGGCTGGATATAGAACAAACAGAAGATGGATTGGAAGTCCTAGAAATGATTGACAGTATTGGCTTTGATTGTGGTTTCTGGTTGGCCAGTCTAACAGCAGATGAGATGCTCCATCTGGCTGAGAGTGGCTCAATGGGTCTCGTCACTGCAGCTCATAGAGGAGAAAGAGCTGTTGGCTTTTGTGGAAGAGCCTCGCCATGGTGAACATTAGAAGCATTGACATGTTGTGGGATTTGCTTGGAGACAGAAGGGCCTTTCAGTCAGACAACTGGGCCTAATGGACTGTCCAGATCACTCTGAAGGTGAGCTGCTCAGCATCTTGAGCATGCTTGCAGAGTATATGTGGCAAAACTCAGGTGTGTTCAACAAGGTTTGTCTCAACAGACAACATGGAGGTAGTAGGGAGCATACCACATCAGTCATCAACTTCTGCAGGGACAGCCGGAGTAAAAAGGGGCCAAACTGCCTCCAGTGCTTGTGAATCCTCAGCATCCAGTGATTGGGCACAAGTAGAGTTGGAATGTCAAGTAGATCACCCCATTCCTGTTTTTGTTCAACTTTGCAGTTTAATTATATTTCCTTTCCTATAGAACTCATGAAAAAATGCCTCAGATTGTATCAATGATGCATGCACCCAAGGAGAACCTCCAGCCTTCAAGTTCCAAAGCACAATCCGTCGATGCACTTCAATCTTGGACTGCTGTCCATATTGGCCAGTATGCCAAGGAAGTCTTCCATATGTGGGACAGGATTGCTATGAGAGAACAAGCCATGGTGCTGCATGTGGAACAACGGACAGAGATGAATGTCCAGTACTGGATGCCAAAATTGGTGAGCAGTGATCTTCCTTCCAACATGCATACATGTCTGACCACAATCACAGAATGCCTTCCTTTGCATGTATGGCTATCTGAACATTTCTGACCATCATCCTGAATGTCTTCAAAATCAGCTGAGCAACATCCTCAGAGATTGTGCTTTCCTTCATGACAGTGGCATCCACCTGCCAACAGGCAGCCTTGGCGGATTAGATCTTTGTCATGTACCAAAGGATATCTGGACCCTCTCTGCCATTCTGTCGGACATTGACAGCCAATTATACTTGCCTCCAAAGCTTTGGGGGAATGAACCAGGTCAGCTTTGTCTTCAGGGGAAGACTTCATTGGGAACAGTCCCTGTTTGTATTGAATGGAAAGAAGCCTTCCGCCTGATGTGCTGGCAATCACTGTACTTGGAAGTCTCATACCATCTGATATTGTCAAGGGGAACAAGACTGCTGTTCTTGATTGGGTTCAAGATATAATGCAGCTTTGGGTATGCATTTCAGTTACCATGATTGTCATGTTTCCCCTCCCCTCAATGCATGCAGGACTGCACAGCCAAATGGTTTAAATTTCTAGAGATCAACCCGTGGCCAGCACCAGTGAAGCTCCAGTTTCTATCCCATCAAAATGTTATGAAAATGGCGCTTATCATGTTCCCATCTGATTTGCCTCATAACTCTACACTACTCAACCAAACTTACACCCCCACCTGCTTCCAGTCCTATGCTTTGGGGAGGGTGCCAGATGTTTCTATGTTGTAAGTGAACTTTGTGTTCTATGACATCTTCTGGAGCTGACTGCCATAAGGGGTGCTTCTACATGCTTTGCCCCAATCTAGGATGCAAGGATGCTGCAGATGCTGCCAACTATTGCTTCATGTGTGCCCTCCACACAGCACATGAGCTGGTGCTACACCAGCTTTCTGATATGAAACATGTGCTACCTGATACTGCACTGATTCTGTGACATGTGTGACACAAACACAAGACTGCATTCCACTACAATGCAATAGAGGAGAATTTGGCTGCAACCTGGTACATCGCTGATGCACACCAGAGTTTGAAAGACTGGACATCTTCCACAGTCCTGACCTCTCATGGCAATTTGCCAATCAATGCAGGGCTGACCAATCAACATCCCTGAATCACCAATGCACCTGCAAAATCGCTGTCAAATCACAGCAACTATTTTGTTAATGTGCCTGCTGAAAGCCATGAAGGAACCATGGCCATTGTCTGAAATCTACCTGTAGATCCAGACGCACAGAGGCCAGTGACACTGTCTATCATGCAATCCTCCCAGTCTCACCTAAATTCCATGATTTCTCATCAAACCAGCAGGATGTCATGCTCCAATCACACATATGACGTTGTAGGCAGCTCAAAATCTGTGCCACTGGAGAATAGCAGGCAACCGATTGGGCTGCTACGCCTCCTTGATGAAACACACAGCAAACAAGACGACTGGCCAGCAGCATGGACAGTGTTGTCCCAACTGGTGAGAGAAAGCAACACAGAAAATCCCCAGGGTCATGGACCTAAGAGGAAAAATGTGGCTCAGACTGTGGCATCCATCTCTCTCTATACTGCAGAGGCCAAGGTCAATCCTTTTTCTGGGGGAAATAACGATGATGAAGACCTGGATATGCAGTCAGAGCAGCTCAATACCTCTTCCACTGCTAAGAGATGCAGGCCATCAAGTACCTCAAGCAGTGTCCTAGCAGGAGAGAATCTGTGTTGTCAATGCCCCTGATCAAGTATGTCTACCTCAGACTGGATTGAGAGTATGAGGGCTGAACAACAACCAGTACAACATTGACAACAAGCGCCTGCCAGAGGATCACATCCTCTGAACAACCCTCAGATCACTTGCCCTTTGACTGAGTTAGAAAATTCAGGTAATGATGTAGATCATTGTGCACTTTCTCATTCTGATGTTAGTCCACATGGCCATTCACAGCATGTGACACTAGGAAGGAATTACACAGCCCATGTTTCAGTCAGAGAACACCCAATTCAAATGGAGGTTGACTACTACTCTCTTGGTTTGTTCTCTGAACCAGCATGGCCGCATCTTCCCATAGTAAACAGAAAGCAACTGTTGAACAGGCAAAGAATTTCCATATATACCAAGACAATGGAACAAGCAGGTCATCACAATGTTGTACCAGTTTTCCTCAACAATCCGGAAGATCTGAGTGCCAAATTCATCAGAGAAGTGGGTGTTGTGGTGACCAATTGGCCTGGAGAATGCTCAGTCATAGTTAGTGCCTGTTCTCAGTGCAATTGGTCTACTTGCTAATGTCATTCTAGTTTCAGCATGGGCCCTTCTGTTGTCAGGATTGCCAGGGCTCTGAAAACCCTGAAAGCAAGAGGAAAGGAGGACACAAGAAGGTTTTGCAGGTCCACAAGCCCAATGAAGAGGACAAGGTGGAATGGCACTTCTGTGTTGAGATATGCATTCAAGTTGTGAATTAGCATGTTCTTCCAGAGGGCATGACTGTTATTGGTGCAAGCCTGCACTCAAGTCCAGTGAGTGATGTTGTAATCCATCAACCTGATCAATTCATTGATAAACTCCAGTTCCTTACAGTGTTTACTCACAACCAAAAGACATGTACCAATCTGGTAACATCCCAGCTCTCACAAAAATTTGGCAGCAGTTGAGCCACTTGCTTGGTTGGACATGCCCATGGCCCCAGACCAGGAACAAAAAGAAGCAAGCAGCCAAGAAGACAAAGCAGCTTGCTTCCCCAGAATTGGGCGAGGCTATTTAGGGTGAGGGAACACAGAGTATATGTGTACATTGTAAGACAATGGACATTGTATTCAGGATAATGATAGGGATTTTATAAACTTGTGTCCTATATCCGGTGCAAAAGTGTCCTGAATATTGCCACAAGGTGTGCATATTTTGTGTCTTGTACCATTCATGCAAACTGGGATACAATTGCTATTCCTGGCTATCAGAAAAGGGGCCAGTACTAGTGTCATGTCAGGCAGTTGTCAGATGAGTATTACAACCCATTGCACCTGCCAATACAGCTGGACAACCAGAACAGGGAAAGCACAGCTGGTGATGGTTGTTTAGGTGGGATAGATCATGGACCAATGATAAAACAGATGCCATATCACAATCTGATTTGACAACCCCATGTCTGGTGTAGTGTGTGGCCGTCTTTTGAGGAAGAGCATGCATCATGATCACATATGTTGACATGCCGGACATTATTCTTCTCTGGCAATGTAAGCCCAAGGAAAGATAGGCTGCAGCAGGGGGTGGTACTCACAGTAAGAATGGATTAGTGTTCCCTATAGCTAGAAGGTCCCAACCCCCGCAATAGTGATATGCATTGCCCATTTGGTACGAGCAGCAAAGTGTGATTGACAACAAGCTGAAGGAGGTGAAGTGTTGCAATTGGAATATGTGGTAAGGAGGAGAATAATAAAACCCATCAAGGAGGGGTAAGTAAATGAGAAAGCAAGGGTATAGAAGACAGCATCAGAACACTGAATTGTTTTATGAATATTCTGTAACAAGAACATTGTTAGCATCACTGGGCACCCTGCATTTGCCCTGCTGGACAGTGGTGTGGAGATTGATATGATCTCTGCTGACTTTGTCCAAGCCCATGGCTTGGAATACATCAAACTGGATAATCCAGTTGCCCTACAACAGATGAGTAGGGGCAGTTGTACTGTGACTCAGTATGGCATTAATGCCAAGATTGATATTGGTGACAGAGTAGTGGAACACTACTTTGATGTTGTCAATACTGACAAATACCAAGTGATCCTTGGTATGCCTTTTGGCAAGAAGTTTGAGATCTTATTAGATCTCAGTAGAAAAGGCCTCCATATTGGAGGCTCTATGGGGAAATGGATAGCCTCAGGAGAGGCATTATCTGTAGGAATGCAGGACAGCATCCTGAAGATGAAGCTGGCTTCCAAAAGAGAAGTCAAACATCCTGACCACATTGGGGTCAAGCACATGCTCACAGCACAAGCATCCACTCCCCAGGCCCCAAAGGGTACTAGGGAAATGCTATCTTCCTATGTTACAAAAGATAAGAGAGACTCTTATCAATGATATGAAGGATCTCATGGGTGAGATCCCACAACAGCTCCCTCCTTTGAGGGAGGTTAATCATCACATCAACCTAATTGATGATAAAAAACAGTATAGGACTTGTTGTCCTGCCTGCCCTGAGGTACTCAGGGATGAGCTTCATGAGAAGACTCAGTGGTACATTGCCACCAACTGGTGGGTACCAGCCCAAACACAGTGAGCATTGCCCATGCTGTGTATTCCAAAGTGGAATGGTTGACTTAGAACAACTGTCAACTGTCGAGAGAGAAACTTGAACATGGTGAAGGATGTTACACTGATGCCAGATCAGGATGAGATCCATAGATGGGTGGCCCAACACCCATTCAGATCTAAATTAGATCTTCAAAACACATTCAAAGTGCTTTGAGTGCACCCAGACAATGTCCAGAAAACTGTGTTCCAAAATCCATTTGGAATGTTCATTAGCCAAGTTGGCCAACAAGGGGATTGCAATCTCCCTGTGTCACTCCAACACATGATGATGCACATCCTGTGTGAGCACTGGATGCAAAAGGTAATTTGCTACCTTGATGACATCTTTGTTGTGGGCTCCACTTTAAGTGAAGCCACTGCAAATCTTAGGATAGTTTTCAATATCCTAAGAAAAGAGAAGCTTTACTTGTCTGTGGACAAGGTTGACTTGCTGTCTCCCAGCATTGAGTGTCTTGGACACAAGATCACAGACAAAGGTGTCTACACAGATGATGACAAGATGTCTGTCATCCAGAATGTAAAGTTCCCAAAGGACACCAAAGGAATGCAGTGCTTCCTCGGCATGGTGACCTATCTGGCACCATATTTCCCAGATGTAGCTAAATACACTGGGCTGTTGTCCTTGTTGACACACCAAAAAAGGAGTTATGATGTAACTCCTATGCATGAAACTTGTTTCAAGGAGATTCTTTGCCTGGCTACAGACTATCCAGTGCTGAAGCCTATCAATCCCAAAAATGGGATCCCTGTCTTCATCATAGTAGATGCATCCACCAGCAGGGTAGGATGTTACTATGGCCAGGGGCCATTGTGGGACAAAGTCTGACCTGCTGGATTCCATTCGAGATGCTTTACGAGTGCCCAATTGAGGTACCCTACCTACCAGCATGAATTGCTGGCAGTATTGGAAGCTCTCACAAAGTGGGAGAGCCAATTAATGGGTGTTCCCATTACTATTTGCATGGACCATGCACCATTGCAATACCTTCAATCAAAGGCTACTCTGGCTCCAGCCAGACTAATATGTGCTCAGGAATACCTGCAGCACTTCAACATAATTAAAATTCTCCATATACCTGGAGAACATAATAAGTTAGTGGACTGGATGTCATGCTCTGACAGTCCCACTGAGACTGTCTCCGCAGATATGTGGATAGACAAGGAGATGGAAGATGCCTCCTCAGATCATCTGGCTGAGCTGCAATGGACAGTTGTGGTGCATCAGATGACAACAAGGTTCAAGGGTACAAAGGTACCCCCAAGGAAACAAGTTGTTCCTGACTCCCCCTTGCTGGTGCACAAGAAACTGCATGTCCCTTGGGGACAAGTCGAACAAAGAGTTCAGCAAAGTGCTGAACTCAACAGCAGTCACTCTGACCATTCTGATGCTGTGGCAATCACCCCTTCTGCTGCAGAGGCAAGAGTTGAACATGTTCAGGCTGGGATACAGCCTGAGGATCTGACCTGTGCTCCTGCAGGGGAAGTGGCAATGCTACCAAGTGTTGGCTCATATACATGCATAGCAGAAACCTCAAGTTTCCAGCCGTGTGGATATTCTGCTCTGATACAAGCAATAAAACATGCCTATATGGTGGATACCTTCTACTGGAAGGCAGTGGCACAGGTGCCAAAGAACAAACAGTGGTTTGTCAAAGTTGACCTGCTGTATATGCATCACCCAGATGGTGATGTAGCTTTCTATGTGCCCAATGGGCAGTACAACAGGCAATCTATATGATTGCTCCTCATAGCCAACGCTCATTTAGCGTTGGCCATTACAGAGATAGGAAGATGCTAACCTTCCTTCAACACCAGTTTTAGTGGTCATCCATTGCTAAAGACATGAAAAAGATTTGCAGGACTTGCCTGCATTGCCAGATGGCAAAGGATAGCATGGCAAAGCCTTCCAGCCTTCTCCATCCCCTCCCTATCCCTGGAGCTCCTTGGAGCTCCATAGCAATGGACTTTATGGGTCCTCTCCCTCTATCGGAGGGATATGACTACTTGTTAGTAGTCATATGTCAGTTGACAGCAATGGTACATCTAATACCATTGTTAATGACATCATCTTCAGCTGATGTTGCACAAGTATTTGCTCAGGAAATCATGTGTTTGCACAGTGTACCAGATAATATTGTCTCAGACAGAGACTCTAAGTTCACTGCCATGTTCTGGTAGGCATTGCATAAGCAACTCAGTACAACATTGCTTATGTCAACTTTGTTCCATCCTCAAACAGATGGAATGACCAAGCAGATGATATGCTTGGTTGCACAAATGCTACAAATGGTCATAGCAGATGACCAGTCTGACTGGTGTGAGGGTCTACCTCTGGTAGAATATTCGATCAATGCTAGCATAAGTGCTAGCACTACATTCAGTCCTTTTGAACTGAATTATGGACACGTTCCATCTGTAACATGGATTGTAAGGCACTCCAAATTGGAGTACCAAGGTGTAGATTGTTTTGTGCAGCATGCACAGTATGCAATATGTATTGCAACAGATGCAATAATTGAAGCCCAAGTAAATCAGGCTCATCATGCTGACAAGTGTTGACAGGCTTTACCTGGATACAAGAAAGGAGACAAGGTCTTCCTTTCCAAGTGTAACTTGGCAGTTCTGAAGAACCCAGCAGTAAAACTACTGCCAAGGTATATCAGACCTTTCCATATTGAACACCCTCATCTTTTGTTGACTGCATTGTTGAACGTTTGCACTAGAATTGTGCATGCCTTGGTGCATATGATATAAGGTCACAGACACATACAATTGTCTGTTAGCTCTCTCTGAGAGCATGAAGAAGCATGGGATACACCTGACATTTCATACAAGCCTACTAAGGCCTTACATCCGCAGTGATGATGTACTCTTCCCAGGAAGAGATCTGGATACTGTTTACGGTAATGCACTGGTGATCCGACCCAAAAGGTGTTCGAAATATCAGTCCGATGGGTGGTGTGCGAGAACTTGCTAGGGAAAGAGGGGAGAGATGGGGAAAGTCGGTAGGAATGCCAGAGTCAGCCTGAAGCTGAGCTATCAGAAATCAGTTGGTAAATCAGAGCTCAGTGTCTGTCTAGTCAAGTCACAATAAGTCAAGTTGAATCTGCTAAGTCAAGTCAAATCTGCCTATCC